AAAGAACTGAAGACGATAAACATGTCTGAAATAACATCAGTATTTATCAGAAGATGGTTACACCAGCGGAGGGCAAATACCTGGAAATAAATCTACGGCGAAAATTTTGGTGGAGAAGAGAGTCGTGTTTACCATCAAACCGTGAAACTGGCAGAGCATATTATGATTACGGGCATTATAGGCGTTATAGGCTTCAAGGATGTCAAGGATGGACCGCAGGAAGTGCTGATAGTAGTAATCCGTGGTGTGAAGTGGGTTGTAAAGGTTATAAGCGCGAGGTTTTGGTAGTGAGGCGTATTTCGGAAGTTTACGAACAGTTACCGTAAAGGACGATGAGCAAGTGTGACGAATCAACTTACTTGGGATTTGATTTCAGTACCCAGCAGGTAATTAAAAAATTATGTGTGCTGAGCTGGGATTTGCAAAGTATATTCATTATTCCACATCAGGAAACAGAAGTGGACTAAACTGTTATGTTAACCATTATGTAATAGTGCCATTAATTTGCAACTTCGTAAGAAACGGTGAATATGTGTCGTATGCAGCGTAGAGTAGATGTGAAATAGCTGGTAATATATTGGTTATAACAGTCATGTCTTAGCTACATTCCCTGTGTATTTGTTGCGTGATTATTTCACATTTTTATATCAGCCCGTGGATTATGAACCAACAAATGAAAGCTAATCGGATGAGGCCCAGCTGAAAAGAAAAGAAAGAAAAAAAAAACTTCTAGTGAAGTGGCGTGCATTCTTTTAGGTTATGTTTCATTTGGTAATGTTACGAATCCTGTAATTGAAAACTTGTAATTATGCCTTTTCCGCCATCTCTTTCAACCATATCCCGTGTACCGCCTTGTACTGTCCAATTTCTTTGCATTTTCAGACGTGCTGACACATCTGAACCAAGTTCTCCATTTTTCCTACAGCTCTTCTGTAGATGTGGATGATGTTGAAGTCAGAGCCATATTTATTGTGAATAAACTGTTAACAGGTCAACAGAACTTGAAGCATCCTTGATTACAGCTTAAACACCTATGCTCACAGCACTTGTATCCTCTTTTGATGTCACTCTTGAATAGAATCCAGAATCCTTATAGATTCACTAATGATTGTGATCACACTAGTCCACAGTTTTGTGGATGAAGTATTAAATTAACTTTGTCACAGTCAAACAGCATAAAAAGAGCATAGTGAGTCACAGCTTCAACTGAAAAGTGGCATGCTGAAATACATTCCCTGCACATTTTGAAATACTGTTACCTCAATGGGAAAGAATTGCCTAAAATGTGGGCGCATTAAAAAATGTGTGGATGGGGTCCTCTAAAACAACTTCATGTTGTGACAGGAACAAGGGGAACAAGATGGACAGGAGTGGGGGGAGGTAAAGAAGAAGGTACTCACTTGGAAAACTAACTGCTTTTAAGAAATTATTCTAGATTTTATGCATGATTGAGGAAAATCACAGAAAGCTAGGTCACAAATAAATTGTAGCTTAGATCTGAACCAGGTGCCTTCAGAATGTGAAATGTGAATGTAAAGATACAAATATTAATTAATTTATATGACAGTTGTGTTCCTCCACCATAAAAAAAAATGGCACATGGCAAAATTGCACAAATGAAATATAAATTTCCCCTTCTCCCTACATGTTCCTTCCCCTCCACCTCTACAGTACTGTACTTCTGCGTGTCTTCACCTCTCGTGAATGGTCAGCCAGCAATTTCCATCAAAGGAAGTGCGATATTAAAGTGTGTACTGAGCTTCAGAATGAGTCCAGTGGCAGTGAGATTGTGAAGTGACACAGCACAAAAATTCTTCCTCTTTAAATCATTTTTAAGAACATCAGACTTGTGGATGGGGAGAAAGTAAAATACACATTTTATTTTGCTGTTTAATATTCCTTTCAAGTATTTTTCATGTCTGTAAATATGGAGGGTGCTTAGTAACATCCAAGGATGTACAAATATTATGTTTTGGAACTTATCTACCATCTTGTCTTTATCCAAAGACTGTCCTATTTATTTTTCAAAATACATTTCGGAGACTGGATTCTGTCTCCGTCTTCAGGTAAAACCTACTCAGTTGGGTCCAATCATAGAGGTAGGAGATAAGGACTAGCTCTGTTGATTTGGCCCAACTGAGTAGGTTTTACCTGAAGACGAAGTCAGAATCCAGCCTCTGAAACGTTGTGTATTGAAAAATAAACAGGACAGTTTTTAGATAAAGACAAGATGATGGATAATGTCTAAGAACATAATATTTGTGCTATTGTACCATCACACAAACTTTTAGATCTTACTTTTAAATCTTATCCAAGGATGTATTATGCTGGTACCATGTTTGCATTAATGCCTAATAGATCAAGGAATAGTGCGGAAAGCTTGTGTTTTGTGTTTTGTGTTTCCCCTCATGTGATTATTGGAGCACTTTAGGCACTTATTCCACCAGTGCCCCACATGTTCTGTTCCTACAGAGAATAAATCAGGGGTCTGTTTGCATCCATTGTTGAAGCTCGGCTTCTACTCTCATCTCAGTGGAGTGTGTCACCATTGTTGTCCTTCAGTGGTCCAAAGAAATGTAAATCGTGAGGCACAGAGTCCAGGCTGGCTGGTGGACGGGCGAGGCATTCCCAGCAAAGCTGTTCCAGGACATCCACTGAGAGATGGGCTATATGGGCCTTGTGAAGAATCCGCGAGCAAGCAAGGATACCTTCCTTCAAATGCTGCATTGTAATGCAACAACAATAAACACTCCGCTGGAATCAAATGGTTTATATCTTGCCGTGGGTGCCATTAGGTCACTTTTTATAAGAGGGTATTCAGAAGATTTGGAAGTTGAGAAAATTTAGGCTGATTTTGTTAATAAGTTATTAAAATGATTTTCTGTTCAGGCTAGAAGTATAACTCTTTTTAAAAGTAATTGTTATAACTTTTGGTATTAATATTTGGCCTATTTGCTTTTATTTTTTAGATTTATTTATATTTTCATGTGTTAAGTGACTAGACATGGGGTTTGGATTGGTAATTAGATTTATTGATCTCTTACAACATGTAACTACTAGTAGCTGCATTGCTGTTGCCAATTCACACCCTTTACAATTCACTATCACATGAACTAAGTATTTTCCGTTTGTCATCTGTAATGGTTGCCTGGTAATGGCTCCCAATAATGTAGATTTCTCAGCTTCTGTGTTCACATTTCCTTCTGCCGACTGTCTCATAGCTGCTCATGGCCACAACTCCTGGCCATTGCCTGCCTAGCTGTGTCTGGCCACCATTTGCTATCACAGGCTGGCACTCAACTTTCAACTCAAAGCTGTCTTAAAGTCACAGTCATTTTACAACTGGTGGATTACCGTCAGTTGGTTTGTCTTGGCACCAAGCCTCTTGAGGATCATGACGAGAGATTTTTTTGTAACTGAACCCTTGTGTTCATAGTCCTCACGTAACATCCTCTCTGACGAGAGGATGGGTTTATCTCGTATGAATATGCTTGGCCTTTCATTATATGTATGAATCACACATATAGTATGTTATTGAAACTTCTTCATAGTGTAATATATACAAGTCCTCTATCAGTCCAGGCTTAGTAAAGCATATCATATCTATTTACTTATCCTATTCTACAATGGCAGCTTAGTCACTCAAACGGCCTTAGACTCTCTTTATACAGCCTCTGCACGGACTGCAGAGAAAATAGCTTCCAACAGTTACACTGTTGTTGCATTGGTGTATTCATTGCCTTGGAAATGTGTTTACCAGTCATTCCCTAACAAATGGCCATCTCTTCTGGCTCCACAATCCTGGCTTTGAGCAGGCATGTCACAATATATATTTCCCTCTCCCCCCCAAAAAATCAAAATAGGGGGGGGGGGGTGAATGCCTGGCTTGCATCTTCCAACTTTTTTTATTGCTAGTGGGGTGGGACTAAGTCCCTTGTTCTGTGGCCACTTCTGGCCTATTGTACCAGCCCAAGATGATAGGTGAGGGTGATTGTGGAGCAATTGGTGGAATGAAGATTGGCA